ACTCATTTGAGTTGGTTTTTTGTGATTTATTTTTGGTTGTTGTTGGAGTTTGTTTCTTCCTTTTACTATTACTACTTCAATTACTTTCTGATTTGTTGTATTTCACTAAACTAATGTCACCATGCTTTGAAGTTTTGTCACATTTTTGAATCCTTAAGTGGAGATTTATCAGAAAAAGCACTTGTAGCCTTCTTTCAGTGCATGTCAATGCATTTCACAAGATTGAGGTTGTTGTAACCCTGAATATCAGCACACCATGCCCTTTCAGACAAGCTTTGTGCTTTTTACTGATCAAGGTAGCACTGGGGATGCAGTTGTGTATAGCTGTTGCTGTCTTTAGCTGGTTGAGCAGAGCAAGGGTTGCACTTTTCCATCATCAGTGCACAGGAATTATAAGCTTTTTTCTTTAAACGCCAGTGCATCCTGGACACTTAAAAGGGCCAACTAGTGTCGTATCTCATGTCTACAATTATAAGCAGGTAAAAAACCTTTACTTGAGTTAACCCAAAGTAAATTAATCTTTCATTTACCTCTCATTTTGCAGGGGAAACACTGTGTGCTTGTTAGATCCTGAGCATTGGCTTCTTGTTCTTCAGATCTGTTTCCATTGCACTGTGTAGCTTACTCCTGTAGATACAGCTACTCCATAGTAAAATTAGTTCATTTACCAAGTAATTGAATTGAGAACTATCAAAATTTTATGTAATTATGTTCACTTAACACCTATTAAAGTGTGGTTTACAAATGTTGATGTCTCCAGGGTTTTGTTTGTTTTCGTTTCCCTCAAAACTGATAGACAGGGCAGGAAAAAAAAAGTCGAGAACAATGTTTCCTTGGATTTGTCAGGAGAAACTCTGAAAGATATTTGAGCAGATATTTGTTTTACGTCAGAAGAATTTGAGTTCCCTAGAAGACAGAAACAGGCAACCATTTTCCTTGTACTGGCTTGTTCACTCTGTGTATTCTCACTGTCAAAAATTACTTCCTTTTTAATGAAATAAAAATTCCCTTGCTTTCCTGCCTTCTCTACTATAGATAAACTAATAGTCTCTTTCAAATATGTAATTATTTCTTCAGTATTGCATTATACAAGACTGTATTTATGAAGTTTTAATTGGCTGTACTTGTCAAAGAAAAAAACAGATGATATAGATCTGCCTCGAGCCCCATTGCAACTTAGAAGTGAGGATGCATTTGCTTGATTTCTCCATCTATAAAATATCAGAGATATAATAAGAGCATCTAAAAAATTTAAAACCTGTTAAGCTCTAAGTTAACTTTCAATACTTTTCTCAAAAACAGGGCGGGATTTCAACTGAATAACAGAATTATGCATTTTGGAGTATACTTATTATTTTGGCTAATATCCCTGTAAATGCACAAAAGGCCTCAAAGAGAGCAGCAAAGTGAATAGATCTATTGCTTTTAGTGCACAATTAATCTTGCTGACATTACTTTATATGAGCGAGGATAAAAATGCCTGGAAAGCATACCATTGAATTCCAGTGCTCATTAATATTGGTCAAATGTTGTTCTCTTTGTGTTTGAAGCTACTTAAAGATTACCTGCAGAAGTATTACAGTGCTATTGATTTAGAAAGACAAATCCCTGAAGCCCACTGTTCTTTAAAAAAATCAGTTGACAAGGGTTTTATTTGTTTGTTTTTCAGTAAAGAAGGATGCTTTCAAACTTCCTGCTATAGATTTGAGTAACTGAGAATATTAATCAGATTGTCAGGGAATTAATTATCCAACATTCAATATGTTGTTACTTAAAAGCTCAAGAAAGTTAGATGGGAGTTCTTATCATGAGGCAACAGTGCCCAGAGTCTCTGTACAATTTTTAGTGTTTAAAATGAAATGATTGCTGGGTGAGGACCCAGGTTCTTCAAGACACGCAAACCTTTATAACTGTACTTGCTATATAGGGTATGCAATTGACTGAGGTTAAAAAAAAAAAAAGTGATATGCTTAATGATTCATACAATTTAGAAGTCCTGGATTCCTTGGACATTGAGAATTAGGGGAAATCAGGTACAATGTTGCAGACTTTTTTTGAGTTTCAATCATTCATTCTTTTAAAATGCAGATGAGTCTAACCTGTGTTATTTAGATGAAATGAATGTTAACTAGTGAAAATTAGATCATTTCTGTTAACTACTTTCAATGCATTTAATTAGTATGTTTCATGGCTCACAGAACCATTTCTGAACCACCAGTTTCTATCAACAACAAAAAAACACACTGCATTTATATTAAAAACACTGTTATTATATGTTTATGACCAGATGACAACTGTAGACAGTCAAAAACACATTCATGTCAGTGTTTTCTTCACAGTTGGAAAGTGCTGTGGAAGACTAAGATCAGATAGAAGTACTGGCATAGACCAGAGTAGTTATTACTGTGCTGCTCAATTGACCTCTTAAGCCTTTGTACTTTAGAGCAATCTGAGAAAATGCAAAACCTAAGGAAAATCAATGGAAATATGCTGAATATGTACTTAACAAACCATATGGAGAAAGCAGCAAGCAAAATGAGAAAATAATTGTTAAAAGACTTACTGCTCTTGGAAGATTAGAGTTCCACATGGATAGAAATAATTAGAAATATATTTCTAATATATTAGAAATATATAATTAGAAATAATATGGAGCTACCTCCAGTTACTCCCCAAACTCCAACACTGTGATAGAGGCTTGAAAAAATATATTGTCCATATTCATTGGGAGGCAAAAGATAAAACTAAGTTCCCAGAATATTACAGAGTAGAAAAAACATGAACAGAAGTTGTGAAAGTTGCAAGCCATGAATCTCATTTGATTTTCCAGTAGGCTAATATATACTCTGAGGAATTAAACATGTAGTATGCCATTATATTTAAAGTGTAATGAAGAATGTGAGGAGAAAAACAAACATGGCAACAGCCAACCTGCCTTCCTTTTAGTCTTCATGATTTTTCCTTTTTGTTTTTTTTGCTATTAAGTACACTTGAAATAGACTGATACATATTCACTTGTTTTATGTATTGGATTCAGTGGGGCATAGTCCATGTTTAATAAAGTGCATAAGCACAATTTCTGCAGTATTGTATCCTGGGTTACACTAAATACGAAGTTGTAATAGTAGCCTCTACATGGTTAGTTTCTCAAACTGCACTAACTACACAAGCAATTATAACTGTGGAATGTGTTCTGACAAAATTGTCATTCTGATAATTTTTGTCCTCTGCAAATTAATGTTTTCTCAGAGAATATAGTTTTCATGAAGTGGTATTCTGAATATATGCTATGACTCTGAACATCTGTTGAACCTTGGGTTTGTAATTGAAAACGTAAATAGCCGGACTCTGAGAAACATTAGACATAGAGCCTTTTTAAATTTAAATCATTCAATTCCCAGTGCTGATTGTCAGTAAATTATGCTGTGGAAAGAACTTCATGTCTTTTTTTTTTTTTTTTTTTTTTTTTTTTAATGTGATTTTAAGTGGATGAATTATTATTACATTGCAATTCAGCAAATGAAGATTATCACCTTTTAGGGCACATAGTGAAGGTTGCAAATAATATACTTTGTACTGCATTTACAAATCTTTTCGCACAGTAACTTGCATATGAAGCTTTCCAGTCAGTGATTACAGGTACTTTAAAATGAGATTGGAAAATTAATTCATCAAAATTCTAAAGTATTTTCTTCTGCTAAGAGATATGCTACAGGTATGGGGGCTGCTCCGTAAATACTGCCTCCTATTTCATGATGTTGGCTCACAGAGGTAGATGTTGGTGGTATGGCAGTAAAGACTGAACCTTCCCACTAATAATCCATGACATTTTGTTGCTGTGCAACAGATGGCAGTGAAAGAGCAGTCTGAAAAAATAAAGTCTGACATGGAAGTGCAAGTTAAGCAAAAATGTGTAATTGAATTCCTCCATGTGGAAGAAATGGCACCCACTGACATTCACTGACCCTTGCTGAACACTTATGGAGACCAACCAGTGGATGTGAGCACAGGGAGGTGGCAGGAGGTGTATTTCTGCAGTGATGATTGTGACAGCAGGTTACCTCCACTGCAGCAGATTGTTACAAGTGCAGTATGCAGACTGTTGTTAATTGCTGGAGAAACTGCATAGTTAAGGGATGGTGACTGTATTGAAAAGGACTATTTTGTAGCTGAGAATTTGCTCTGTTGAATAGTACTATTGTGCCTTTTGTGTCTGTTTTTGTTTTCATGGAAGTCAATAGGAGGCATTACTTCCAGAGTAGCCTGTGTAACATTAGTAAAATAATGCAATGGGACAGGTTTTGTACACACATCATGGACATAAGAATATGTTCATAATGTCATAATCTGTGGACTGAAAGACATATGTAGTCATTGCAAACTTAGTAAGTTAGATCTCACAGCTGAGACTTAATGTATCCCGGCATATGGCTAGTTGGGGAATAAAAAACAAAATTCAATTAGAAGAATTTTTTGAAAACAGTTTGAAATGGATTTGCTGAAAAGGTACTGCGTGGAAAATAATAGTTGGTTTAGTAGCTTGACTTCTGAGCCAGATAGTTACATATTCAAATAGACACACAAAGCCATAGAAAAGGTCTCATGCTTGACACGTAGTGATTACTCAGGGATAATGTACATGTCACTCCATACATGATAGGCACATTTGATTTATACATATTGGCACAGTAGTATAAAAGTTAGAATGCCTGTTATCTTTAATAGGAGGGCAAGATTTAGATTCTCTGTCTCCTGTCTTCTCTTACATTAAAAAATAATGTTATGATTAATGAGTAGTGACATACTTCATATTTTTTCTTGTTCATAAAAATCTGTGCTGGCAAGTTATCTGAACTAAATGAAGGATATATTTTAATGGAATATGGAGGTCTACATAAGAGATTTTACTTACTTAATGAGTGTAAAATTATGATGTTTTTTAATTATATGTTTATATATGCTTATCTTCTCCTTTTTTTTTTTTTAATTCCATCTCTTAGGACCCTGCTTTCCTAATCCATGCCATAATGGTGGGATGTGTGAAATTAGTGAAGCATACCGAGGCGACACATTCATAGGATATGTTTGTAAATGCCCAGAAGGTTTTAATGGGATTCACTGCCAGCACAGTAAGTTCCACATGGTAACTTTTAAGTATTTATGGATAGAAGCCTTTTTATTAGCTTGCAGTCTCGAGGGTCAGTGTTCGATCTCACTTTCTTAAATCCTTATCCTTCATTTTGTGATCAAACTAATACCACTGAACACAGTTACCATCTTCAGAAAATTGTGTTATTATTTCCAACTTACTCGACACAACAGTGAATGCTTTATGTACATAATATGTACATCGTATGGAAATGTAGCTGCATTTATAATGGATTTAATAGAAGGCAGTATTTGAAATAATAGAGATCTCCTTTTTCTGTTGGAAATGTCTGCGCATTTTTTTTTAATTTATGGTGTGCAAATGTGGAAAGGATTACTGAGAAAAAATCGTGTATAAATACACCTTCTCCATCTTTCTTTACCTAGGTATTTATAAATTAAGAATAAATGCCTTGAATCACAGTATCTAACTTTAAGGGTAGAAGTTCCAAACTTAAATAGAGTTTATATTTAATCATGTTTTAAATGGAATATCCTTTTTCTCCTCATTTATGTGAATAGTTCCTCCTACTTTCAGATTAGATTGTTAACCAGAAGATTATGGAGTTACAGAACTGAAAAGTAGCAATATAAAAACGAAAAAAAAACACTGTCAGATTTTGATATTCACTCACAAGAGGAATGAGTTCACACTGTAATCATGATGGCAAACGATTGCCTGCCCTTAAACGATGTAGCCAGGAGTTCAGGAGTCTTCAGAAAGGGAAAGGAGGTATGATTATGTCTGACTGTAACTCAAGGTTGTACTAGCTTGCAAGTTTCACATGGGCTAAATTGTCAGTTCAGTACTTTGTTGTTCCTGACCTCTGGCATTAGCACGTATTTTACAAGAGTCTGCTGGCTGATAAGTGAAGAAAAAGCCATTAGAATGTGGCAATCTGGGAAGTTGTATATCAGCCCTTGGGACTACACTTGGTAAGAGTAGCGGAAACACTTTTTGTTTGCCATTGATGTCCAAGTTGTATGAAAGAACATCATCGTGTTCTCAGGCACACTCCATCATAAGACTAGGCTCATAGTCACCTCATGGTGCAGTGTGCAGTGTTCTACCTTTAAATGCCAAAGAGGTGACCTGTATTAAGGATGCCATGAAGTGAATAACTCTACAAATTTTTACCAAGTAAAATGAATGCTTTAGCATGTACTGTCTGAATAATTTCATATATTACCTGCTTGGTGAAAAAAAAACAAAACCCATGCAGTAGTGAATTATGGTATTAATCATAGCTGTTTACTGAGTCCCTTTATCCTTTTAAAAATATTCAAAGGGAACAATTAGCTACTGTTATCCTCCTGATAATCAGCAAAGTACACTTATACTAATTTCAGAATAAAGCAGAGTTCTCACATGGGTGATTCAAATTCACCACGGGGAGAGGACAGCAGCTAATGGGATTTCCAGTGAGATAAATTTGTGTGAAAAGTTAGTCTTTGGGGGAGAATGAAATTCAGTTTTTTTCAGAGAGTCTGATTTAAGATGTGGTAATAAACCGTATGCAATATATAGATATTCAATGTGTCTCTAAGGATGTCAGCTATGAGAAGCAGAGGAGAACATGACTTCAATAAGGAAGAGTCTGACTTCCAGTGGTGCATTTAATGTAACTCTTTAATATGATATCTCTTTAGCTTAATTCATGAAGTTCCTTTTATGTGAGTTCTTCTACTTCATAAAGTTCAGCAGTTCAGTTCTGAATTCATTCTAAATCAAATAAGAAGTCTGTCAAACTAGATCCGTCCTTAAAATGTCCTCATTGAAAGATATGTGTTTTCATCTAAATTGTTAAGATATCCAGAAATCATGTTGTACTTTCTCGTGCAAAGTTTCTTATCTCAGACTTCTTTCATATCAAAGATTCTGTTGCTAAATCAAGGAAGTTAAGTGACTGATTTTTCAATCAGGATATATTTCCAAAGCTGGTATTCTGGCATTCATAACAACAAACATCCTATCAATATTCCTGCAGTTTCTTGATCTTTTACCCATGTAAATAATTAATATATAAATTATGAAATAGATCATTAGCAAGAACACTGATTTCATAGTATGGATTTACTGCAAAAGCAATATCAATTGTCAGTGGTTATCCCTCAGTGGTAAGAGGTTTCACAAGAATAGGATAATAAGGACTACCTTGGTTTTAACCTGGGGAAATTTTTATGGAGACACATAAGAAGCTACTTCTGTATGACATTCTGGCTTTTAAACATGCTGTTGACAGTATATAGTGACAAGGAGAGAGGAATTTGCAAAAATCTTGCTTGAGGCGAGAAGGCAAGTCTCCCTACAGCCTTTCTACACTGAGAAAGCAGCTCTTCCAGAGCATAGCTCAGAGCACTTAAATTCCTGAAAATAGCATAAAACTCATGCCCAGCAGGACTGGGGTGTATTCCTTGAGTGTGATGCTCATTTTTAAGAACAACAGGTAATGTTTTCTTCAGGATCATGCTGACTGAAAGATAAGTGGCAAGCTTATGTGGTAATGTTTTGGTAGCAGGGGGCAGCAGAAGTGGTCTGTATGAGCAGAGCCCATCAGTGCACCATGTCAGAGCAAAGCTGCTCCAGCTGCTCCAGCAGGGACCCACCACTGCCAGAGTTGAGCTGTGAATGATGCTGGATGTGCTCTGGGAGAGCAGAATTAAGGGAGGAAACACCGATGTGTGACAGCAGCTGGGAGAGAGGGGGGAGCAATGGGAGAGAAGCGGCCCTACAGGCAGAAGGGCAGGAGGTGCTCCAAGCAGCAGCTCCCTGCATCCCAAGAGAGGTCTATGGAGGAGCAGGCTGTCTGGAAGAGCCAGGGGAGCTGCTGTCTGTGAGGACAGTGCTGGAGTGGTGCCTGAAAGGTGGACCCTATGTTACAGAGCTGTGCTGGGGAGAGCTTGGAAAGCTGCAGCATGTGGGATCAGTTCAGGAGAGACAGCATCCTGGGAGAGGCACCACGTTTAGCAGTGGCAAAGACTAGTAGACATGAAGTGTGAAAAATAGGTGGATTATTGACGTACTTAAAAAAACAAACACACAAAAAAACCCCATAAAACAGAGTAACATAGGAGGGCTTCCCAAAAGTAATGCTTCTTGTTTTATTAAATTGGCCCATGACATCAGATGCGGATGTTGGTGATATGACCATCAATATTCCATTACATTTTGTAGCTGTCTGACAAATGGCAGCGGAGGGGTAATGAATCATAGAATCGGAGAATTTGTTTGGGTAGGAAGGGACCCTTGAAGGTCATCTAGTCCAACACTCTTGCAGTGCACACAGATATCTATGGCTAGATTGAAGTGTGCATGAAACAAAGGTGTGTCATTGAATTCCCCCATGTGGAAAAAAAAATACATCTACTGACATTCATCTTCACTTGCTGAACGCTAATGGAGACCAAAGAGGGTATGTAGCACAGTGAGGTGTTCCAACAGTGGTGACAAAGGCAGTGGTTCACCTTTGCTGGTACAAGTTATGAGAACAGCATGCAGGCTCATGTTCATCGCTGGCAAAAATGCACAGCTAATGCTGGTTACTGTGCTGAAAAATAGTGTTCTGTAGCTGAGAATTTGCTTTATCAAATAATGTTATTTGCTTTTTGCTTTAGATTCTGTGAAAAGGAATAGAATGCATTTCTCTCAAATCAACCTATGTAGATAACATGTATTATTGTGATTATCAACAAAATATGTCAAAGTGTGTCTGCCACTCAACAAACTGAAATGAGAGAGATCCAACCTCAAAAAAAAAAAAAAAAAAGTTTGAAACGACAAAGAGTTCAGATTTAAGTATTTGGTTTTTTACTTCGTGTTCTGTTGATGGTTAATGCTGCTGGCCATTACTAAATGCCTTGCACTCTGGGAAGATTACGGCTTATTAAACAAACATGTTTGATAGTGTAAGAAAGTTCTTCCTAATGTTTTTCCAGCATTCTCTGTTTTCTGTCTCCACAGCCTAAATGGTTTGTGGTGCCACATTAATGTGTTGAGAAACTACACAGCTAGCGTGAGGGCACGTGGCAGAGCATCAGCTCACATTTTAGTAGTATGTTGAAGCATCATTCCGAGTCTGCATGGAGTATTGGCTCTTAGTGCAGGGCTGCAACGGGAAGGGCCAGTTGCCATGAATCTGGCCTACTTGAGAGCATGTGTAATTTACACCTTCAGTTTAGTAACAAATTCAAATACAGGGACCTGCCCATCTACTGGAGAAGACACTGTGTGAGGAGGCTGGATAACGTGGTGTGAATTTTTGTTTGTTATAATGAGTGGGCATTTTTGCTAAACTGCTTCCACTTGCAATTAGGTGGTAGAGCCATCCAGAATCCATTCCCTGCAGGTGGACGGCATGCAGCTGTCTTATTTTCGAGGCTAAAACAAATTTTATCATGCACAGATGCAGCTTCTTCCAAACCAGAAGGACCCTTCACCACATGGGCAAATTTAATATATTAGGGTAGATGCAGATACACCATACCAGATATACACCCTGTGCTTCTACTGATAAACACTCACTGTGACTTCTCTTGAAATACAAGTTTAGGCTTAGGGAATTCTAAATCTAACTGAGGTTTCCTTTTTATTTTCTGTGATGTTGTTGAAACAACTGCACAGTTTTAATAAGTTATTATATAAAATAGTAATAATAAATTACATTATGTATTGGTAGTAAGTTGCTTGTACAAGTATGTTGTAACTAACATCAACATCTAAGCGTTGTTTAGCTGAATTCTGAAAACTATTTCCAGGTCTGAATAGTTGCTTAGATAAGAAATGAAGAAATATAGATACGCCATTTCTTTTTCAGTAACCAAGAATTTTGCGTAATTAGAAAGCAAGAGAAATCAAATTGTTTGAAAGATATCTATAAGATATCACCAGTAAAGAATTAAAAAAGCCTGTAGCCAGTAATTACTGTTGGAGGAAAAGTCAATCAAATGTAGTTCCTAAAATGGAAACTGTGTAAGGCAGCAT